GGGCCGGGGCCCGGGCGCGGCGGCGGCGGAGGAGGAAGAGGAGGAGGACGGAGACGAGGAGGACGAGGTGGAGGATGGCACGCGCGGGGCCCACACGTGGAGGCCGGCGCGGGGGCGCGGGCAGGGCCGGCTGCTGAGACGCGCTGCTGCCCCCCGCGCGGGCACCGCGGCTTCAATGGCGCCATCGCCCAGGACCAGCAGCCGGCAAGATGCGACCGCCCTGCCCAGCATGTCCTCAACTTTTTGGGCGTTCATGATCCTGGCCAGCCTCCTCATCGCCTACTGCAGTGAGTACCACACACTCGGGCCCCACAAGGGCCTCGGGTTCCCGGCTCGACCCCAGCCCCAGCCCCGGCGGGGCGCCCCGCGTCGGTGCGGAGTTACGATCGCGTGGCGCGCGGTCCGGATCCTGGCCGCTGTTCCGCTGGCCCGGGAGGGCTGGGTGCAGGCGGCTCCGGGTTCCAGGCACTCCGCGGCCGGGCGCATCAGCCCGAGCGTGCTTCCGTGGACTCGCTAGCAGGGCCGGCGTCAGGCCCAGGCCGGCACGGCGCGTCCCTGCGCGGCGGGGCCGGCTGCCCGCCGTTGGGTCTTCGTTCCAGCCCAGGCTAGAGACTGAGCGGAGCTGCGCGCGCTGAGCTTCCCGCCGGCGACACTCCCTCCGGGGACTTGTAGGGACGCGGCAGCCGAGCCCGAGCGGGACTCCTAGGGCAGGAGTGCAGCTTGGGTTCCGACGCATTGTGGAGCTTCTGCCTTGCTGGGAAGCGGGCTCGCCAGATGCTTTCTGTAAAAGGAGAAGTAAGGGAACGGATGCCACTGGAGGAGAGGGCCCGTTACCTCTGTGAGGGTGGTTTGGAGGAATGAACTGGCGACCCAGTTGGGTCTGGCAAGGGCTGCGGAGGGACGTGAGGGCTGGTTGGTGCCTGGCACGGGGGAGGGGGAGCGCTGGAGCTGGGCTGGGTGCGGGACGGTGGGTGACAGTAGGTCACGTCTGGGAAACGGTGATCTGAGTTCTGGTTACAGACTTGGGGCTGGTGTAGGGTGGGTAGGCATCTTCCTGGCTGGTGCCTGGTGCCTGTTGGTAGCTGCTGGGGTGGGTAGAGAGGCTGGTTAGTGTCCTGGGCACAGGCTCCAGCAGGGATGGGCCCTTGCCTCTTTCTGCCTTCCAGTCTCTCGGGAAGAAAAACTAGTTCCAGGGAACACCTGTCATGGAAAAATGCCACAGCAAGGGAGGTGATAACAAAATATGGGTTCTTTACAAAAATAAAATAAAATAAATAAATAAGGCCATCACCAAGCGATTCCTCCTGCTTCCCCGGGGCCTTCAATCTCCCAGTCCCAGCTCCTCCTGTCTTTGAAATGAGATTGTAGCAGCCTCAGAGACTCAAGTCATGGCCGGATTTGTCACCAGAGTCCTGGGACAGTTCTGCCCGGAGATAGCTCAGCCCCCAGTATGGAAGCATTTTGAGGGACATGGGAGTAGGCCTATTGCAAGAAGTGCCCCTGTTGTTTCAGCGGGCTGAGTTCCCCTGTGTTGCTGTGGCAGCTTCCCCTGAGGGTCATCAAGCAAGAGGCCGGCTGCTGACAGTGTTCTAACCTAGCTGCCCTCGCTGCCCGGGGACAATAAGGAAAGGAGTGTGGTAGTGTGAACCCCATGAGGGTGCTAGCTGCTTAGGCTCCTGCAGCCTGCTGACTTCTTTCAGGGGCTTCCCAGGCCCCTTTGAGCTTGGATTCCTTAGTGGCACAGGAAGGGTTAAAGACAGGTAAACTCCAGAGGTGTACAAACAGGTAATGCCAGGATGGACTGCGCTTCCTGGTGCTATCCCAGGAGGGGCACATTCAGCAGTGGGGGAGGGGCATGGAGAGCTGACTGTTCTTCCTGGCCAGATTCTGGAAACAGTGTCCTTGGGTCAGCGGAAGAGCCCAGAGTTATGGACTGGGTCAATAGAGGCAGCTTTGCAAGTGGGGGGGGGGGGGAAGGACAGCTATCCACTGCTGCCCAAGCGTATGGCAACCCAGCCCTTGACCACAGCACTCTGCTCTGCAGGGTATCACCGAGCTGTACCCTTGTATCCACTCCCAGACAGCATAGCCTCTGTCCCTTGTTTCCTAGCCTTAGCAAGAATCAAAGTGTGCTCTCACTTCTTTATCTGGCTCTCTTGCCCCTCGCTCTGACTATAGGAAAGGAGTCTCCTGCATTTAGAGAAAGGACAGCCCTGCCATCCTGAGAGTTCCTTCTCTGCTGCAAGGGCAATTGGTAAGAATATCTTATCCAGCAGAGCAGGAGTCCTTAATAACAGCTTCGAGGAGGCACATTTCCATAGCTGTTTCCATCCCCACGTAATGGAATAATTGACAATAAGCTAACGTTTTCAGACACACCCCATTACACCAGAAATGCAGTTGGAGAAATTAAAACATTTTTCTAAAATACAAAATAACATCATCATAATTTATAGCTGGGAACTGAAATCCGAGAGAAAAGAATATTTCTTTTTTCCCCCTTAGAATTGATAATGCATAGAAAATGATAATTAGATAGTTTCTGTGATTTCCAGCCTCTCTTTCAACATATCTGGGATGAAGGATAGTTAGCATCTTTGTGTGCAAGATGTTTCACTAAGGACTTTTCATTACCCTAAGTGTCTTTCTGCTATAGAGCAGAAACATTTGTGAAGCTGGGGTCCATATTTTAGGGCCCAGTGATGCTGCCTGTGCTTCTTCGTGCTCACTTCCTGGTCCTAATGGGAGGAAACTGGATTATTTCCTGGCCTGATTTCTGTTGGGTGGGGGGGAGTCAACAGTTCTTGCCCATTGGATGTCCTTCTTTGCTATGTGCTTGAGATTCATATTAAGGAGGTGGGCTCCACCCTCTGGCTAGAGAAAGACCTGCAGTCCACCAATTAGGCTGGTTGCTATGGTGACTCAGCCTTGTCATTTTCAGGGATTGGGGAAGAATTGCCAGGAAAAGAAAAAAAAAAAAAAAGGAGGGGGGTGCTGTGAGGCTGCCTTTAAAATCCTGCTCTCTTTCGTTTGTGCTCAATGTTACTGGTAAAGTCCACTTCGTAAGCAAGCAACCAGTGCTCACCAAGGTCTCCCGGTAAAGTTAGGCAATGGGCTGCTGTGAGAAAGGGAGAAAGTGCTTTATTCTGGGCTGGGGAAACTCCTTAGACTGGCTTGGAAGGAGCTGATGTATTTGAATTGCTCCAGTGTGTTGAATGAGATAGGACCTGGGCAGTGAACCGAAGATTCCGTCTTTCCACACTGGATTGTGGGTTGTTGGAGATAACACCAGCAAGGAAATGTGGAGAAAAGGATAAGCCTGGTGTCCCCCAGCCCCCCCCCCCGCCCCGAGACTTGACTTTGATTCTTGCAAGCGGTGTTTAATTCAGGAATGAAGGACTCTGCTCTAGCGTAGATGGCAAGTTCTGCCTTCAGAGCCCCGAGGTGAGCAGATGCTCCCGGCATACAAATGCTGCAAGGTCGGCCGGCCTCATTTCAGAGTACTGGGGAGTCCAGCGGAGGAGAGGCAGTAGGGCTGCCTGTTTAACATAAGTTTCGTTTTTCTTTTTCAAATAAATCTTATTAAAACTGAATTGTGCCTTTCAGTTAAATCTCATGTCCGCAGCTGCTGCGGATAGGAGACATTACAAACAAGTTTTGAATTGTTTTTAATCCATTAGAATACTAACCGAGCGTAGGCACTTTTGATGGGCCCCGGCACACAGTTCCTTTACAAATACAATTTGTGGCATACTTAGTGGGGATGACGATGTGCTGTGTTCCTGCTGATCAAATGTGATTTCTGGAGTTCTCAAAGAGGTAAAATTGAAAATACCGGGGTCGACACAAAGTGATGCCTTTTGGAAGTCTCTCTCTCCCTCGCCACCCCCTCTCCCTCTTTCCTCTGTCCTCTCTCTCTCTCTTCCTCCCGTCCCTGCCTCTTATATTTTTATTTGATGAATGTCTGGGGTGAAATGTGCTGTTTCTTTCAGCCACGTAATGTGACGATCAGCCGCTTCTCCCAGCTGCACTCAGAGGCCTGGGAGCTTGGAGACAGAGGCATTTTGAGTCCTGCGAGTGTTTTCTGTTCAGAAGAAACCTGCGGGAATCGACTTGGACTTGACTATCCATTGCCCTCTTTCACAGCGAGGGCTGCTCCTGGACAGAGGGTCTGTACCAACCCCGCCCCTCCCCCAGTCTCTCCACGGAGGCATTTACATCAGAATCTACTGCCTGCTTTACATTTCCACACGGGGCTGGCTTCTTGCTTCCATCAGTTGTGAGCTATCTGGACCTCTCTAAGGCCAGGAAAGAGTTTGACTAGACAGGACTCCTCCCTGCTGAATTCCCAGCCCTGGACCTGCCTCTATACCCAGGGCATGAAATATGTAGATCAACTTTTGTGGCGTGAAGTACTTTCAGGTGACTTTATGGGCGTAATTATGGGGGAATGTTATGATAATGCCGCAGTAGAAGAAGGAAAAAAAGCAAAATATTAAAATCCCCATTTCTTTATATAGCTCGGCAGCTGCCTCTTTAGAAGGGCTCATTTTTGCATTAAAACGTGGTGTGCTGGAGTTAATGACCTCTACAGATTGCCACCTGTCACCCAGGGCTACAGTCATGCCCAGCCCCCTCGATCAGGGGAAGAGTGGACAGGCAGCATCCTGACTAGACTCTATAGGCATGGCTGATGATGGCTTATGGCTGCTTCTATGTGTCACCAGGCTCAAGAACTTAAGGCCGATTCTACATATGTGCCACCAGTCACTGGCTCAAGGCTTGTGAGGGGCAGGACCGATTGAGGCTCTGTACTTCTTCCTAAAGGCTCACTTACATTTACCAGTGCCTCTGAGCTGCCCCAGGGATTTCTGTGAGCTGGGATCTCCACACAGGCCACTGGCACTACCTGAATGTCACTGACCCCTCCTGCCTTCAGATGCCTCAGAGTGAAGCAACTAAGCGAAACTGCAGCTGCTGTGAACTGTCCTAGAGCTGAGCAGAGTCTGGGTGACTGTTCTGGGCCCTGCAGAGAGTACGGTGTAGAACCACCACGTGCTTTGCAATGTTCACTCCTTAAAATGGCTGGCAGGGAAAAGAAGACTATCCCCCCACCTTTCTGCCTCTAAGAAAGTAAGTGGAGCTTCTTCGGGATCTAGCCTTCTGACCTCCTAAGAAGCCAAGTCTTAGCTTCTGAGACTCTGTCCTTGAGGATGGTGAGTGGCAGGACTGCCTTGTCACTCTGTGGTTGGTCTCCCCTTGACAAAGAGCTGGCCTCCGGCTCATT